TGAGAGCTGCAGTGTTCTGAAACATACAGCAGCTCCATTTTAATGGAAGTTTGCCAAAGACCTAAACTTATCCTCAAGGTCTTAATTTAACTGCAGAAAAATGCACTTAATTGTATAAAAGCATAAAGATGCAATGATCTAACTGAACATGTTAGGTATAGCCGATTAAAACACGTTGTTTACAGATACCTGTTAACTAAGCCTGTAAAGGACATAACAGAACAAATAACCCACTTCAACTCTTATAAAGGCAGCTTCAGACCACTGCAGTGGTCATGAACTTTGCTATGGGTTGACTTAGCTCTAACACGAATAGGGTTATTATTTCAAAGCCTGCTGTATCCCCTGAAATATCACACAAAACACTGTGAGAATCTTACATACCCACTATAGAAATGTAAAAAGTTCATATTAGCCACTATACAAGGAGTGCAAGACTTGCAGAGCTCACCTACTTCTATGCAAAAATGATACCAACATGAACAAGACAGCATCTAGTTTCAGTGCTCTGTTATGGGGACAGGGTACAGTACCATATTAGATGCCATCTTTCCTATGGCTGAGAAAATCTTATTCTCAATGCCCTCAAATAGCACATTCCAGCTCAGCTACCTTGATAAGACCGAATTCTACCTGCCGGCCTCATCTGTTATTCCTCCTATGTCAGAGATTAAAGTGCAGATAAAACAGATTTTACACTTCGGATGTGTGTGGCCAGTGCAGTTGGTTTGAGACCCCAGTGCCCACCACTGGGTAGACTGAAAAGGAAAGTAGAGTCCACGGCACCTTTGTCCTCTTGCATAAGAAAATGCTTTCCAGCCCAAGCCAACTTGTGCATTTCAGCTTAGCAATTCAGACCGAGTGCTGTCCAATGATCTGGCACCATCAGGAAATACTTGTCCATTGCTTCACAAAACCGTGTGCGGTACAATTCTGGAGAGACCACGGTTGGCATTTTACCTAAATGTTTGAAAACCAACAGTTAGACATTGACCAAAGGGAAAAGAAAATATTCTGGTTTACAACAGATTTGTGCTCAGCGACCCCAAGTGAGATTGGAGCTCCGTATTGTGAAACGATGTCCACGAAGGAAATATTAGCCCCATTTTACAGAGACGAGAGGTGAAGTGGCTTGTCCAAAATCATATGGGTTGTCTGTGGCAGAGCTAGCTATTTAATCCAACCATAAAAGACCATTTTACAGCTTCTGCCGTCAGCAGTGCTTTGAGTTCTATAGCAGCCAGTCCATTAGGATAGTTCCCCAGGTTCTTTACAAGCTTAGGGACTTGTCTGTGAAAAATCCTGACAATCTGCCAACTAAGAATCTCAGCATGGAAAGAATTCCCCTGCTATGGGAAAACAGTAGTCACAAGCACTTGATACTAGCTCCCAGAGGTATCAGAACTTTTGGGCAGAAAAAAATCATAGAAAACACATTCCCTCCCTGCCCCCCCTCCAAATTGCACATGAATCTATTTTTGAGAAATGTCCGTATAGCATTGGATTGCTTTGCAGAGGTATTAAGGACATGGTAGACGCACAGTACAGCAAAGATATTCAAACTTGCCAGAGGTACTGAAGAGTGTCTAGTCACATCAGCATGGTGCTATCAAAACTACTTAGACCTACTTTTCAACACAGTACTTAGACAATCTCTGAATGAAGGCAGCTCATGTGCCTCAATGGAGCACTGCAGAGAAAACTCCCCAACTCTTTGGAAGAGAGCGTAACAGGAGAGAGAAACCCAATACGCAGGCTAAGACTAAAGTTATGGATTATAAAATGTAGGGCTTGCTCTGCACAAGCTTGAGAATGGGGGTGAGGGGAGGAAAAAAAAAGACTGTTACATAAATCTGTACTCCTTTGTGGGGTAGGGGGAACAGTCTTGCCCAAAATCTGTTAACAGTTGCACTATCAAGGAGTAGATTTAACAGCAACTAAAAAAAGGAAGCATTTCACTGCATCTCAGACTCACCTTGTCCTCCTAAGATGCCTGTTGACTTCACCACCATTTCAAGCTTTTTGTCCCAGGTAAAGGTACGAATGTAATCTGTTAAACAGGATAAAGAAAAATATGCCATGAACTCTATTCCAAACAGTTCTGGCTAAAAAGAAATAAGTTCCTCTTGTTGCATAGCAGTGATACCAGTTCAAGCAGCGAGCATCTGCCGACAACAGTTCCATGTTCTTCTCAAGCGCTCATAATGGGTGGAGAGTGCAGGTGAGCCCAGTGAGAACATACCAACTATTCTTATGCTTATAAAAAGTACTACTGAGCTCCTACTGCAGGTCACTTAAAAAGTAAGGCATTCTAAGAACCTGGTTGTGGTCATTCATCCAACTAATCTCAACCTTAGCTGTGGACCAGGAGCCTCACCTTGCTCCTACAGGCAATCATGAATGATTAGTATATCATCAGATCTAGAAATCTAGGCATTTTAACCTAGTATTCCCCTCTAATAGGGCCACTTAAGCGTCTGCACATGCCTTATCTTTAAACAGCAGCTAATGCTGCTTTATCTAGGGGTACCTTTCAATTAGACTCCATGAAAATAAGGGTCGAGAACACCAGGGATAACCCTAAACAGGAGGAATGGGAGAATTCCATGAGGAAGAGCACTGGGTTTACTCCCAAATCAATTGGCATGTGAGCAAAGCCAACAGTCTCACTTTGACACCCCAAATCTTGTTGTTATAAGTTAACCAATTCCATTGCTCTTAATGGTCCTTTAACTCAATACCTCACATTGGCATTAGGACTAGTGTGTCCATCAGTCCTCACCTTAACACTTATTGTAATTATAGTTTTATATTCAAAGGTTTAAATTCTAGAAATGTGCATCTTCAAGTGCATGCAGCTTACACCTCAGCTGTTTGTGTTAAGTTACTCTCAATCATATCTGCTGACTACGAAATTTTCTACCTTGCACCTCAATACTCACTGGAAATAAGAATCCCTTAAATATTTAGTGGCTGGTCATAGGGCAAGCATTTTTGGTCAGTACACTAACTGAATACTTCAGAAAGACGTGTACTCTCACATGGTCTTGACGAGGTCGTTTCATGGTCCTTCATAATTCTAATTTTTTTAAACAGTTTAGTGCTTTAATTTCAGGGTTGAACTATCCAGAAACTTTGACATCCCATATTCAAATATTCCTTTGATGCATCCAAGTTTTTAGCTCCCAGACTGTCTTATGAATACCTTACAGATTATCAAGATATCATTTAGAGGAAACATCATTCACACGATGTAGACAAGATTCTGTCTTTTAATACTGGTGCAGTGCATATTAGCAGGGAGTGTTTAGATACACTAGTAACACATTAAGCCTTGTCAGCAATTAACTACTCTAACAAGCATCTACATGATATTGGGAACAAGTGTGAAGCAGTGACTGAAATACGGCTCAATGCCTAAAGTAAATTATGGCTCTCCACCAATTGTAGATAACACTAGGGAACATGCTTAGTATTAAGGTTACCGTTTTGTAAAACAATGCTCATGTGCAAGTTTTTGCGACCTGTAGCTTCAATTTCTTTCAAACATGTTTTAATATCATGCAAATCAGCTACTTAGGTAGGTCTTAAATCATCTAAACATAGAAGACACCACTCTACTAGACTGAGCATTAGTTAACTATGTTGAACAAAACAAAATGCAGAACAACCAATTCTAAAAAGCCTGAGCACTATTACAGCTACAGTACACTGAGACTTTAGGCTGATGATTTTGCCTAGGGGTGTTTTAACTTGGAGCTTAAATGAGAGCTGGAAGCCACAACACTAGTTAACATGGAGCTAGGAATTAAACAAGGCAAACCCCAGTTGAAGCTGTGCCTCCATGTCTCAGCGTAGCCTATGTAGCAGAGGGCATATCTACACGTGCAATTAATGCAAAGCAACACACTCCAGTGCTTATCGCATCAGAATTTATTGCTCCCAGGTATGCCATTTCCATGTGTGCCCAGGACCACAGCACACTGAGCCATCAGAACAGCCCCAGCTGGCACAGGGCTCCAGCTGTAGAGTATAAAAACCCCACAGCAGGACAGTACTTATATTTACAAGTACTATCCTGCTATGGAGTGGATTAGTTTACTCCTGCCTAACAGCACTGCACACGTAGAGACAAGACACGTACTGCAGAGCTAAATCAGGCAGCTCTGCAGTAAATGGCTCATGTAGAATGTAACAACTAGTTTAGCCACCAAATATCAGTGACATGTCTAACAAAACGTAATTAAACAATGCATTATGATTTTCTTACAATACTAGAAGTAGTGTGTGACCAAGTGCATTAAATGCTATTTTGCTGAATAGATGTATTTTTATTAAAAGGCTTAGGTGATTTATAGAAAGAAAGCAGCCTTGTCAGAGAAAAAAATCAAGCTTAAGCACAACTGTACAAAAAGTAACAGGTCAGTGTTAAATAATATTCCACTGTGGGAGGAAAGGGGATAAGAAGCCCTCCCTTTTACTTTCCCAAGCCTTCCAATCCCACAGAAGACCTGGTTCAGTGAAACAAACAAAAAAAATTAAATAAAACCAAATCAGAAACTATTTATTAGAACCTGAAAAACGCCAATTATATATTTTGGGCATAGGCTAAAAAACTGCAGACTTCTCTGAAGTTCAGTGAAGCAGCTCAGGTCCCCAGGGGAACAGAAAAGCCTGTTTCTTTCAGACCTGTTTCTTCCCTAAATCCAAGACCATGTAAGCATGGTCTTCACTGCTGCAAATAAGTCTTTGCTTTGCACATTCCAGTAAACTTTCAAGTTGCAACTGGAATGGTCTCATTGATCAATCTCCTTTCCCACCATTAAAGTTTTGTGCAACAATCAGCGTAACAGTCTAGAAACATCCTTTGGAGTTCCAGGCCTGGTAGACTAGAAGCATCTCTATTACTTAAATGTCCCCCATCCCAGCACATTTTCCCCCCAGGGGTTTCTAATCAGAGTAATTTAACAATAAACAATTTAGATTTTCTTGAAGTCTTATTCAGAACTAGCTGCCCTAAAATTAGTCTCGAGTTCCACCTTTCAATTCCTGAATTTGAAGCAGAAATCCCTAGGTAAAATTCTGCAGCTTGCATCAGACTAGAAAACAGGTCAACAACTTTTTCCCCCCAACAGCAGGATGCTGCTTGTAACCCAGCCAAATTTCCTGCTCCTCATCCCCCAGACCAAACACAGAGGTGTTTCCCAAGCCTTGTGGACACTCCCACCCACACTACAAGTCCCCTCTTCATTCTCCTCTGAGTGTCTACATAAAGGACAGCCACACTGCATTTTAAGCAAGTGGAAAGTAGCTTATAAGCCAACAAGCAGTCTAGAAGCTTCCCTCCATGTCTGACCACCACAGTATGTGGGAATCAGACTACAGTTGTTGGACTAAATGACTTCCGAGATCCCCTTCCAGCCCTATTTGTCTATGATTCTATGACAGCGCTGAAAGCCTCTACAAAACGAGCCTGCTGATTTTTGGGAGAAGCGAGGTCTAGTGAACATATGAATGGGGCCCACAGGCTCAAACCAGGAGACAGAAGTCTAACAATCATGTCCGTCTATGCAGGAAGACGTAGTGAAGAGTTACAGCATATACACCAAAGCCTGGCTCAAAGAAGCAGAAGACGCGCCTAAACTTTGGCCAATAACAGTGGAAAAAATGCATAAATTAGGTCTAACAATCATGTCCGTCTATGCAGGAAGACGTAGTGAAGAGTTACAGCATATACACCAAAGCCTGGCTCAAAGAAGCAGAAGACGCGCCTAAACTTTGGCCAATAACAGTGGAAAAAATGCATAAATTAGTAAAATAATTTAGACTTTAAAAAAAAAAAGTGAGCAAGAATAAAAGGTTACATACCAATGATCCCAACCACCAGCTCATTGTTGGTGTCATCACGACCCACCAGCAAAGAATAGTCAATAATAAGATGACTGGAAAGAAAGTGCGAATCACTGTGGATGGAAGCTCTCAGAACAGCTTTGCAATGGGATCGGATGTACAGCGGGTTGTCCCGTACCATCTTCAGGAGGTTTTCATCCAAAAGGACAACATCACAGCTTTCCTTCCCAGTGTCAGTTTTCACATTTCTATTCCGGAGCGAGCCCTTCAGGTCAAACACCTGGCAGCAGAGAACAGTAACATTTTGTTCCATGAGAACACTTAAGTCTGTTTTACAACCCTCCACTATGTTAAAGATTCCAGCATATCCAAGACTTGTGAACACAGAACAAATACCCATCTAAAACACTGGCCAATAACTAGCCAGTAGACCAAATATATACACATGAATCTACTACTCATCCATTTGTAGCTTTTAAGTGAGCTATTTTGATGTGCATTTCAACTCTTAGAAAGAAAATGCATTCAGATTACCTTTAAACTGCTGAATATGAAGAAAGCTAGGGCTGTTACTGTGTTTTGTACAATGGAGAAGGAAGCAGACCGTGGTGTCAGTGTTTGAACATCCTCCAAGCTTTTTATGAAAAGCTTGAAAATTCTCCACTACAACCAAACTTTGGCACTGGGGTAGTAAATCCACAAAGCCATTTTAAAACAAGGTTTCCTTAACTCAGTAGAAGGCAGTCAGCAAAACCAAACCAATTCTATGTCCTTCTACTACACCTTAAGAAAAAGATCAAAAAGGCTTTCTTTTGTCATCAAGAGCAATTACAGTGCTTATGATGAAAACCCATCTACCAAAGTGGTTCGTATTCTTAGGTAATCATTACTAGCAATTAGTTTTGCCAGTTCCTATGCAGTATTTCAGAGCAAAATATTAACTGCAAAATTGCATCCAGTTGTTGGCGTGTTTGCAGGAAGATACAAGATAAGCCATACAATCTGTTTAAAAGGCCTAGAGCTTTTGTCCTTCAGCTTCTAGAAAGTTACAGCCCTTACCTGCTCCAATAAGAGTTTTAGGTCAAGTTTCACAGTTTAAAAGCTCCATTAGAACAAGCTGATCATACACGCATGACAACTATTACAATTTGATACAAGTAAATTAATGGCCATGTACAGACATTTAGTTTCTCCTAGGAAGAGTTGCTGCTCTCCAAGGAGAAACCATACATGTACAGGTGTTCATAATTTTTTCCCCCAGAGCAAAAAAGACTGCTCCAGGAGAAAAATAACCTAGGAACAACCAGAGTTAAAAATCACTCCTGGGAGAGTTTCTCCTGAGAGAACTGTACATGTTCTCTTCTGAGAGAACAGCACTGTCCTCTCTCCCAGCATGCTTTGCTTACCCTCTGGTCCCTGGAAACTGTCGCTCACTGGAGTCTACTACTGCTCCAAAGCAGGGAGCACAGCACACCCCTTCATAATTCCCACATTATGCTGCAGGGAGACAGGCTAACCCTGAACAATCTGGGGCAGCTAAATCAGGGCTGCCCTGTGCACTGCTGCCATTCTGTCTTCAGGCAGACAGAGAGCCTACAAGGCATGCTGAGATGTGTGCAGAAGGACCTCATGGCTGTGCAGCATCAGCACTGCAAGCTCTTGGCTCTTCAGGGGCTCAGCATTCAAATGTTTTTTTCTGGCATCTCTAGACTAGGAGAGCAAATTTAGGAAGAAGTCTACACACTGTCAGATGATCTGGGATAGCCATAGTGTCTGCCTTTGAACTCCTTGGACAAAAAAAGAAAAGTGTTGTTTTGGCTAACTGTCTCCTAACTGGCCAATATTTTGAGCCGCCAGAATAAACCTGGTGCTTCAGGCAGAGCCACCTGTTTGCTAGTAATGGGGACATAATAAGATTTCTGATTTAAAAAGGCAGTCTTCACTACAGCCATAACAGCTAAAGAGCTGTACCCTGGATCACTAAGTCTCCCCCCACTCTCCCCAGGGTCAACATATTCCAGCAGTGAGCAACAGTAGAATAGCTCATGACAACAGTTCAAGAAAACTACACAGCAGGAGCAGAAAGTAACATTGTATATTTATTCGTCACCTGAGCCATTTTTCTGCCATAGAATAGGTTTTCCATGACAAGCAGATCCAGTTTCTTCTCAGTGTTGTTTTGAGAATTCTTATACCCAATCCTGTAAACTCCAAGGATTTTGGCCAGTGCTGTTGGCTTCTGTTCAAGAAAATACAGATTGAATTTTAAATTTCACCTGGACTTCTTTTAATATTTGATTTAAAAGAAAAGAACCTGCGCAGAAATAGTAACAATACCAAATTGCTAAAATTCTCTCTTTCCATCAGTTATGGGCACTACTCTTCACTGTATCTTATCTGTTCATCCCCTTCATTTTGAAAGCTACCAGTATGAAAAAAGGTAACATGAGAACAAGATTTGTAAGATTTTCTAGTCCTACCTTCTGCTGAACAGCATTAGTGATGTAGGTGAAGTAATGTGGGGCAAAATCTAGGAAAGACTGGACCTCCAAACGAGGCATCTGTTTCAAAATGAATCTATCATCTGTTAAGATTAAAGGAAAAGGTCAAAAAATTACATGCGTAGAACAAGAGACATTAACTACAAGTCTTTCACAAGCTTAACATGCAACAACAACAAAAACCACACCAGTTTTCATTTTCTCTTAATCCTTGCAGTTAGAGGTTTTATTCTAGGTGTCAGAATTTTCTGGCATTCATAAAATTTTAATTAGGCAAATCAGAGCTCATTTGTAGGCATTATTTTAAAAGTGACTGTTAAGTGATGAGAATTTTCTCTGGGTTTTGAGGAGGCATCAGCACTTTCTGAAGTCTTACTCTCCCACAAAAAATCAGAACTACATGAGCAATCACCTTCCTGTGACAAAATTGCTAAATATAGATCAAAAACAGGCACGGTGTGTATTGTCAGCACACGTTATGGAAACCACTACTCATTTTTCACTTACATTTTCGAGCTATCCACCAACTCAAACATCACATTAAGCACATGGGCCTGGGGTGGGAAGGAGAATAAAGCACTCCCCTCTGCTTGCACAAAAAAGCAAGAAAATTAAACAATGGAAAGGGAAGAAATAAATCTGCTCTCACCTTCTGTCACATAGAACGCAGCTCCTGACTTGCCTCCACGAGCTTGCCAGGGCACAGAGTGAGAGAGGGAACGGATAAAGTCCTCCTCACTGCTCCCAAGAATCACTTCACGCATCTTGTGGAACTCTCCAGCATAATAAATCCGGCAGTAGAACTTTGCATTAGCATCTGAAAACTCTGCAGACGGAGGAGAAATTCAAGGAGTGCAAAGCTCATTTACCAGGACAGATACTTGATCAGTAGCATTTTCAGGAGTTTTAACACCCCCCTTGACCACTGGCATCTCATCCACCACCCACAATACTTTAAGTAGTGCTTAAAAAGAAAAGGAAGTCTTCAACAAAAGCCCCCAAAAGTTAGTCCATAGTGGCCGTGTCTATACAAGCATGGAAGTTTGGTCCCCTGGGGACACGAAGCAGTGGCACACCTTGTGCTGCTGCTTACTATTTGCCCCCGGGGAATGCCTGTGCCATGCACCCCCTGGTGCACAGCAGATTACCCCGAATGGGGTAGGAGAGGCTGGCCCCAGCAGCCATCCCTGGGATCCTGGGGGCTGGAGAAGCTGTAGCCACAGCGATCCTGCTGCTTGGAGTCTGACTGGCAGCTGGAGTGCAACTCCAGCTGGCCACGCTCCAGTTTTGGGCAACACCTTGCAGCACGGGGAACACCTGAATGTGCAATGTGGCACCACAGATGGGTCTGCAGCACCATGTATGGCATAGCTGCACTCATCTGGACATGGCCACTGCATTAAAGCACTATGCCTTCCACTCTTATGTGCCAGTATAAGTTAAGCTTTGTAGGGTATTTCTGTAGTAAACCTCTTCCTCATGGCCTGTAGCAAGAATGCTATTGTGCTCATTTTAAGTTAGAAAATGGCAGGATATCAACTCTAAGTTTTATCAGGAAGCTACTTCTGCACTTTGTCAAGAAGCAATTGCCAGCCTGCAACCAATTCAAAGCCTCAAGATTTTCTACTTACGAAGTTCTACATGGGGATTCACTAGCTGTTTCTTTTGTGCATCTCCTCCATCCACTTCATCTGCAAGGAAAAGGAGAATGTCAGGAAAGCATATACATTTCAAAAACCAAAAAAGCAATTCATGAGTAAGTATTCTTAATTCTGATTAAACATGAGATATTAGCAGCAGCAGAGCTAAAAGCTCCCCAACGAGATGCTCAGATATCACATAAATAGTTACAGTAATAATTCCCAAGCCATTTGTTGAAGTGAATTAGCTTTGTTTCCAATATTTAAAATTAAATTGCATGCTGTCATTTCAGTGTACTACAGAAAAGAAAGCCACAGCTGGTCACTGACCAAATCCTCAGCATATTGTAGGTATTGAAGAAAACGTACTGTTAGTGCATCTTGTTAGACTCTTAACTCCAAAAGAAAGTGAAACAGATTAGTTAAACTAGTGTCTCAGAAATAATCAATAGCATAGCTGGTCTAAGAAAATAGCCTTTATAAACCAGAATTCATAACAGGTCTGCATAAGCAACTTTATTAAAAGGAGTAGCTCTACTGGCCAAAAAACAGCCTCAGCTCTATATATTTAGTCTTTATAAATAAAACATGTTTCTCCTTTCTGCTTTCCTCATAATCCATGGACTGAAGCAACACGGCATACCACGATGTTAAGACAAGAGACTGGACTAAAGCCCATTTGCTCATTACTAACACTGCCTCATTTAAAGAATTAAAAAACAGCTTTAGAATACACTGTACTGGTAGAACTCTGAAGCTATATAAATCCCCATCTCCTTTTTACAGGAGAAGTAACATTGCAAGAGAAACCGAAATCCCTTTTAGGTTCGAAGGAAATGGTATACCTAGCCCTTACACTCTTAAAAAACCCAGCTGGCATGAGCTTGGGCTTAGAGCAGGATGCACCCTTGGGGATGCAGCAGACTTAGCTAGGAAGGAGAACAGACATGCACCTTGAGGCTCTGCTCCTTGGTTCTCTGGTCCCTCTTTGCCCATTTGCCCAACTTGGTAATAGGCACTGTCCGCACCACGCAAGGTCTCTTTCTTCTGAGAAGACAGGTCAGGGCTCTTCCCTCCTGTACCACGGAAAAAGGACAGAACTCCAGAAGCCTTTTTGGCTAAAATATAGATAAAAGAAGTAGGGGGGAAAAAAAAAAAAGATTTAGGAACATTCTTTCTACAGCCATATAAAGCAAACCAGAAATCAAAACACGCAAACACATTCTCAAATTATTTCTCTTGTTGGAAGTATAATTAATAGTAATATAGGATTACAGACTTATCAAATCATTCTATTGGATGTTAGGATCAGGCCAGAACCAATTTAAACGTATTATTTTAGTTAGCCTAATGTTTCAGGATGCTACACCTTAAATATTTCAGAAGTTATTAGGGAAACTGCACATCTAATGCCATGGAAACCCACTGCTTTAAATTATTCCCATTGCAATGGTATCAGTGCAAGGAGTTATAAAAAAAAAAATCTTAATTCAGTCACATGCATCAACACACACTACAAGAAACAACCATGCACATATTCCTGATTCAAAGAACCACCCTGGAGATATTCCCAGGGTAGAAATGTCCATGGCATTTTAGTAAGTCTGCTATCCATACTTAAAAATATTAATTTACTCTGACTCTACTACTGTTTGAGAAGAGCTAAGGTAAAAACAAAACAAGACTAGACTGGTCATGGGGTACAGAATCTAAGTCTGCTACATAAAAAAAGATGTGCAGTGTTGTGGGTGATAGGAGAGAGGAGAAAAAAAAGAGTACAAGAAAAACCACTAACAAAAGAAACCTTCAAAAGAGTGCAGGTAATGGACACCTAATCGACTCAAAGTTCTAAAGGTCAGCAAGATCAAGATGTAACAAAATGGATTTCCATTTCCAAGATCTACATCTATTGTAAGTTAGCTCTAGGTCTTGGTGAAAATAAAGTAAAATTTTCTTTAAAAGTCAATTTAAATCTAGAGCTGAGCCAGGCAGAGTTTTAGAGAAACAATAGCTAGTCTTACGCTGCTCTGCTTCTGCTGTACGGCTTGGCTGCCCTGCATTCATCTCTGGTAACCTGACTGGACTGCTGTTCTTTGGCTTGTTGTCCGACATACTGAAAATGGGGTGGAGGGGAAAAACAAAACATATTTAAAGTTATTTATAGCCAAACTAGAGCTTTAAGTGATCCAGAAAAACTGAAAGAATAAAGCTTGTCAGGGTAAACTATCATGTTCTGTAAATAAAGAGGAAGAAAGAATTAAGCCATGGGGAGAGCTAGATATTCATGCCCTTCTAGGTTTCCAGCCTTCCTTCAGAAATCACTTACTCCCTTCCCCTAGTTAAAGGAGAGAGCAAGTAGCTTCTGAGCAACAACTTCTCTAATTAGAGCCAAGCACCCACTGCTACCTAAATATGACCTTGGGCTTCTCCAGGAACAGCTTGGGCCTGACTGCTGCACTTCTCCAAGGCTAAAGCAGACAAGACTTCACTTGGGATCCTATAAAAAGCGACTGTTCCAGCTTGTTTTGATGAAAGTTAAAACTTCAGACTAATCAGCCCTTGATTAAACCAGTCATCTGTTTTTAGCCCAAGATTTCAAACAATCTTACTGCTGTCCCTTGGCAAGCACAATCAGGCAGACAAGCTGGTTAAAGAGGGCATGCTACAAGCCATCCATAGTCACAAGGTACCTCAGTTACCTCAAGATGCAGTGACAAGAGATAGCCATATTGAAAATGGGGACATTAGACATTGCCAGGAGACAGTCTTTGGTACTTGGATATGGGAAAACATTTTGAAGACTTTACCCTGGCCATCTTGCTATGCCTAAAACATTTCCATGCCTCTTAGGAATTAGTCTGTAACCTGTTTGACTGAAGTCCTTCTTCAGTACTGTTCTTCAGAGATGCTTTGGATAACTCATCCAGGGCATTTCTGTATTCCTTGCAACTGAAAGGGAAGAAGCAATAGCTTACATTCTAATTCTGAGTCTTTGCACTTGAATTCAGGGGGCAACAGAAAGTAGAAAACACACCCAGTAGAGAAAGGCCACCTACCTTGCAGCTAATCCTTCACAGAACAAGCCCACCCTCCCCCCCCCGGGTTACAAAGCAAAGTAAAATAATCACTTAAGCACAGACTTATTTTAAAATAAAGTCTGATTGTCTCACAATCCTAAGGAAGTTGTCAGAGAGCTGAAACTTTCTTTAAAGAACCCTGCTGCCTGATAATGCACAAGGAACACTAAAGATGACAGTTTGCTCCCTTAAATTGTATTCACCAAGTCAACCGCTTAATAAGTGCGGCACTGGAGGAACAGAAAAGCTGGTTGATGGTAAGAACCCTCTTACATTGGCGAGAATTACGATAACTAAACTGTGGGGATGAAGAGAGATCATGTTATGACACTAGACATCTCCACCAGCTACTAAAGATGTCCAATGCAACACTGCTA